AGGAACAGACAGATGGGTCAATGGAACCAATATAGAGAGCCCAGAAGTAAAATAATATCTCTATGGCCTATTAATAGTAGACAAAGGGGGCAGGAATATAAAATGGAGTAAAAATAGCCTCTTCAATAAATGGCATTGGGAGATCTGGACAGCTACATGAAAAAAATGAAACTAGATCAACAACTTACGCCATACACTAAAATAAACTCAAGATGCATAAAAGACTTAAATATAAGTTTTTACACCATAAAAGTCCTAGAGGAGAACATAGGCAGGAAAATCTCAGGTATTCCACACAGTAATATATTCACTGATATGTCCTCTAGAAGAAGGGACATAAAGGAAAGAATAAATGGGATTTCATCAAAATATAAAGCTTCTGAACAGCTAAAGAAAACATTAGCAAAATGAAAAGGGAACCAACTGTATGGGAAAATATACCTCAGACAAGGGTCTGACTCCAAAATACATAAAGAACTCATACGATTCCACTCCAGGAAGATAAACAATCCAATTAAAAAAGGGACAAAAGACCCAAACAGACACTTCTCCAAGGAAAACATACAGAGGGCCCAGAGACATTTGAAAGAATGCTGAGCATCACTAGCCATCAGAGAGATACAAATTAAAATCACTAAGAGACCTGTTCACCGTGGTCAGAATGGCCATCATGAAGAATCAACAGACAACAAGTGCTGGCAAGGTTGTGTAGAAAAGGGAACCGTAGGGCAATGTTGGTGGGAATACAGACTGGTGCAGCCACTGTGGAAAACAGTATGGAATTTCCTCAGAGAGTAAAATTAGAGCTGCCTTTCACCATGGTAATTTTGTTGCTGGGACTATATCCTAAGAATCTTGAAAGACCAATACAAAAGAACCTATGCACCCCAATGATCATAGCAGCACCATTTATAATAGTCAAGTGCTGGAAGCAACTTAAGTGTCAATCAGTAGATGATGGGATAAAAAAAACTGTAGTCCATTTACACAATGGAATACTATGCAGCAGAAAGAAAGAAGGAGCTGCTACCCTTCATGACAGCATGATGGAACTGGAGGGCATTATGCTAAGTGAAGTAAGCCAGGCAGTGAAAGATATATACCATACGATCTCACCTATAAGTAGAATCTAATTGAGAAAACAAACAAGGAACCAAATACTACCAGAGACATGAAAATAAAGACCAAAGTGACAGTGACCTAAGGGAGGGTAGGGGGATTATTGGGAATAGAGGGAAGGGGCCAGGTCAAAGAATATGCATAAAGACCCATGGACATGGAGAACAGGGTGCAGATTGACTGTGGAAGTGAAGGGGATTGTGGGTGGGGCAGGTGAAAGCAACACAGAAAAAGGGGGACAACTGTAATTGAACTACAACAAACAAAAAACACTGTGGAGTAAATTTAACTAGAATGTAAAAGACCTCTACTTGGAAAATTATGAGACACTGAAGAAAGACATTCAAGAAGATACAAATAAGTGGAAGCATATACCATGTTCACAGATAGGAAGAATTATCATCATTAAAATGTCTATATTACCCAAAGCAATCTATAGGTTTATTGGAATTTCTATCAAGATACTAATCATGTAGTTCACAGAATTAGAGCAAATATTTCAAAAATGTATATAGAACCACAAAAAGGCTCCAAATAGCAATAGTGATCTTGAGAGAGAAGAACAAATTTGGAGGAATAATGCTATCTAATATCAAACTAATCTATGAGGTCATAGTAATCAAAACAGCATCATAATGGCATAAAAACAGACACCATATATCAATGGAGAGGCCAGAAGTAAACCCATGCCTTTTTAGTCAATTCATATTTGACAGAGGAGCATGCACATACAATGGCCTAGAGATAGTTTATTTGATAAATGGTGTTGGAAAAATACTTTTACTTCTTTTTGTTGATTTTTTATATTATGACAAAATTATCCAGGACTTTATTTCATAATAATTTACAGCTATATGTAACCAATCCATTTTACTTACTTGGAACAGAATCTTCAAATGTTTAGATATTTGAATTCTCTTTAATAGGTCCTCATGTTATAAACTAAACGTGCCACCATAGGTTTTTCCCTCCCACATATTTCAAACAAAACAAAACAAAACAAAACAAAACCCTCCACTCTCCTAAAGTTAAAAAATTCCTCAAACATATTTTAGTAATATAGAGTTAAAACACTTATTTTAAAATTGAATTTATTTGCAGCATTGAAATCCACTATAGGGTGGCCTGGGACATGGAGGCTGAGGGTAACTTTCCAGGGGGAAGAGGGAAGGAGGGTGATGGTGGGTGTATTTGGAGTCCATGGGTCTGAGACATGCTAGGGCCATAACTGGCATGTGGTTGCAGAAATTAGTGAGAAGACTCTTGGTTGTGAACATGATCAGAAGCACAACCCCCAAAGCAAGTAATTGATAAACTGGACTTCATCAAATTACAAACATCTGCTCATCAACAAATGGTGCTCTGGCATCTGGGTATTACACATTCAAAAGAGTGATGGTATGTGGTGATGAAGGTGATGTGACTTTGGGTGGTGGGCACAGAATGTAACAGACAGATAATTTATCATAAAATGTACTCTTGAAACCTATAGGATCCTATTAGCCAATGTCACCAAAATAAATTAAAAGACAAAAAAAATTCCCCCAAATCCACTATAGGCCTACTATTATTATTATTTTATTAATAGCAAAAGAAAGCTTCTTATTAGAGACACCAGAAAATAGACCAGGAGGTTTCCTATATTGTCTTTAGTCTATGAAATAATTTATGTTTTCATTTCATATTTCCCAGATTAAAAAGTGAAAAAAGCTGAGTAGAATTTTTTTATTGGTACATAAATAGTACTTTTTAAACACTAGTCTCTAGGGGAATATTTTACCTATCCTTGTTTTCTGACTTCAATATGTTCCCTTGTGTCTTTATTGAGCCAAAAGATAAAATTTAGTTAGAATCATGGGATATGTTAAATTTCTCTACTTAAGCTTGGAATTTCTTCCTAGTTTTTAATCATCTGTGATGTAACACTTCCAGTTAAAGATTAAAGAAACTTAAAACTTAGTGACCATTAAACCAAACTGGAGAGGATGATGTAGATACATCAGTGCTCTTTAGTATTTGAATACTGAGATGTATTGTGAGTGTGAACTTCAGTGAAAAATAGGGCATATTTTGAAAAAATAAATAAAATATATTCTACCTTTTATTTGAATACTTTTTTGAAGATATTTGTTTTGTAAAAATTCTTTTAATAATGGAATAAAATCCTCAAATGATTATCATCACTTTTAATTTATTTAGTTCATATATTGTACTATATACCATAACAAAACAAGAAATCTCAATATGCCCTGTGTAAGGTAAGTCAAGTTTTAAGTTTAACATGCCTTTTTTTGAATCAGACATTAGAGAAATAATTTGGAAGTACAAGAAAACTAAATTTGTCTTTAAATTGTCTTATGGATCTATTCCTTTTGATGGAGAATTAAAACTCCTACATAATGTTGTTAGGAACATATATAAATATATTAACATATATTTTCACATGTAAAATCAGTAATTAATTTTCTTTATCATTTATGAACATAACCACATTAGATAAATCACAAAGCAAAAATTAGGTAGAAGGTATTTTTCACATTTTTGGAAAAATTCAAAAAATATTTACACCAGTTCAAGGTTAAGGACAATTGGTGTGACTAACAAAACTCAAAAAATAATGATGATGAAATAAAATAATGTATTTAATAGTAAATTTAGTTTACCACATCATAATGTTCTACAGACAGTGAATAAAAATGTGTATTTATATTTTAATGAGAGGAAAGTGATTAATGGAAAAACTTAAGGAACAATGAAATAAAAATATTTATGTTGGACTGCAAGGACAATCATTATTTATGAACAATAGGCAGATTAAATTTGGTGGAAGTATTCAGGTGTTTAACACAAATATTCTAAGGATTTAGTAGTTTTAAAAAGAGTATGTGTGAGTAAAATAATTTCAAGTTATCAGGCAAAGCAGGGAATATGTTTGAATAACTTAGTTAATAAGAAAAAAATACTTACCTGGTGTTTTATTTTTTTGTTATAGCTTATATTTTAAAACATGAGGAAAATGGAAGCCCTTAAAGAATATCATCTGGCAATTTTGAAAATTTAGCTAAGACAAAGAGTCTTGCTCTACTACAAAGAATATAATTAATAAAAAACAAATTACAATTAGCAACTATGGAATATTGTTATAACACCAGTCAGTGACAAGAACTGTGCTTAAAATCATTTTATACTCAGATGAAAAGATGTCATTTTTTAATGTAATCTGCACAACCATAAAGAAGGTAATATGAAACTATTGTAAACTGAATAAAGTAAAGATGGATCATAATATAGCATGACCAATTTCAGTTTTTCCGTTTGTTTTCTTTCCCAAGCCATGCAGATTTGAGTTATTGTTGATGATTCAATGGAAATTTTTCTAAGTGTTGAGTGTAAAGGTCACTGGTAAAATATGTGAATAGGCAAGTAGATGGAATTTTAAAAATTTAAAAAATGTAAGAAAGGATATATAAAATGGTGCTCAGTGATGAATAAATGGAATAAAATTACTTGAAATACTGAATTGTATAAATAGAAAATATAAACTACTTACATAGTCTTCTAGGGTAAAGTCTTTGAAAGATGGGCTATAGATCAATACTAAATTGTGTAGCTAAATTATGAGTTATAATATTAATAAGCCCCCTATGGTAAGATATATTTCAATCTTGTCAAGGAAGAAATAAATACTCAGCATTTTTAGAAAGATGGCTGATATGAGATGAGATGTTCATTTTGATGAACTGAAAGTAGATTTTGAAAATATTTGCACATTGATAAGTTTCTGAATATGAAACATTTTATAGCTGAAAATAAAGAAAGCTGCTTTCTGATATATGCTTTAATTTTTGTTTCCTCTAGCTTCCATAAAAAAAAAAAGAGAAATGAACCAGTCAACGAAAATAGAGTTCATTTTGCTTGGACTGACAGATGATCCTGTGTTGCAAATTGTGATTTTCCTGTTTCTGTTTTTCAACTACACCTTGAGCCTGATGGGAAACTTAATTATCATTCTCCTCACCATAATGGATCCCCATCTCAAGACTCCAATGTATTTCTTCCTCCGAAATTTCTCCTTAGAGATTTCATTCACAACTGTCTGCATTCCACGATTCTTAACAAGCATTTTTACTGGAGACAAAACAATCTCCTACAATGGTTGTGCCACTCAATTATTTTTTTTTCTTTTATTAGGAGTTACAGAATTTTACCTTCTGGCTGCCATGTCCTATGACCGCTATGCTGCCATCTGCAAACCACTGCATTACTCCACCATCATGAACAGCAAAGTGTGCTCTCAGCTAGTCGTCAGCTCTTGGGTAACTGGATTCCTAATCATATTTCCCCCTTTGGTCTTGGGACTCAAGCTCGATTTCTGTGATTCCAAAACTATTGATCACTTCCTCTGTGACTCTTCTCCTATACTGCAGATCTCTTGCACAGATACACAGGTTATAGAATTGATGGCCTTCGTCTTAGCTGTGGTGACACTTGTCATCACTTTGTTGTTAGTGGTCCTTTCCTACATATACATCATCAAAACCATTCTAAAATTCCCTTCTGTTCACCAACGAACAAAGGCCTTCTCCACCTGTTCCTCACACATGGTGGTCATCTCTATTACTTATGGGAGTTGCATCTTTATGTATGTGAAACCTTCAGCAAAGGAAAGGATGACTTTAACTAAAGGTGTAGCTGTGCTCAATACCTCTGTTGCTCCATTACTAAACCCCTTCATTTACACTCTAAGGAACCAGCAGGTGAAAGCAGCTCTCGAGGATATGCTTCAAAGGTTTTGCCAATTTGAAATCAAAGACAAAATTAGGATGTAGTATGTTGTTGAAACATGAATGAGGAAATTGAAAACAATTTTCAGTTCATTAGTTCATAGCTATGCCATTTCTCCCCTCAATGATTTTTATCATATTAGGTTTACTGAGTCTTCCTGATCACTTCTCTCTGTTGTTCCTGAAAAGATCTTTTCATTCATTGAAGAAAGCAGTGGTAAGCTGCTTTATTCAGAATAGTAAAACACATTTTGACTTGAAATATCTGTTCCCATAAATGATACTTTTATGTACCGAATGCTTTCAAAAAATAAATCTTGCTGGATATATATAGTTAATTATTTCAACATGTGTGTGCTAGTTGCTAAGCATTGCATGTGTTCTTAAGTATTTTTTCTGCTAACTCTGTGAGAGACAAACTCAAAACCTGATAATTACTGTAACATGTAATAATTGCTATTGTGGTGAAATAGAGAGAATATCTCCCCAAGAGTGAACCATTTACTTTGACCAGTGAGAAAAGTCAGTATATACAATATTCTGAAATGCCAGTCACTGAAAGCCCCTATCATCCCACAATGCCCTTTGAAATAAGCTGTCTGCAGAAAGTAAATAGATTGTGTCTTCATGTCTTGGTGACTCTACTTCTCACTTCCTATTCTCCAAAGCAGTTGAGCTTTAGGAATGTCTCTAGAGGAGAAAAAAAAAGAAAAAAGAAGACCATGTGTGGAAGAATTCCAGTGACCATTTTATTGCTCATTTTAGAAGCCCATCTCAGTTCCAAATTGAGTTCTATGATATTTTTTAATGCAACAGATTTCAAAACTCAGTCTGCTTATAAAGAGGTAGGGGAACCATGATTGAACACTTGCTAGAATGTTGAGAAAAATAATATCGAAGGTCTCAAGTTGAAGGCCTGTGGAGACTGGTTCAGGAAACCTTGTGGGAAATGGCAGTGACTCTCAGAAGTTTCTGTGAAAGTATCTATCAGTAGTCTCAGCAGTGAAGTAGGTAGTTCTCACATACTGAAAAACCTGGAGAAGACTCTGGACCTCCCATCTGCTCACCAGTCTGACCAGAGACACTTCTGGAGAATAAAAGCCTCTGCTTCTCTTCTAACTTCCAAATTTTGCACAAAGTGTTCTCACTGACAAACTGTAAATTTGAGCTACACAGGGAAGAGGACCCTTGGAGATGGTATTCTGATTTCCCGTGCACTTAGAGGACAACTAGGGAAATCATGTGTGATGAGTTGGCAACATACAGTGCAGTGACTTTGCAGTTCAATGCAATTACTTTGAAAATAACAAAAAATGTGGTCTCACAAATTGCAGATCATTGCTACTTCAAGTGGCTTTGCCAAAGAATGATGTCAGCATTAGGGCAAGTTAGGAGAGATGAGATTTATTTTGCAACTTCTTGTTTAGTTTATCTCATTAAATAGGACAGTGTTGAAGATTTTAACATTACAAATGCTTTAATCCATGTAATGTATTCATATTACTTCAGACACCTTTGGTAGCCCTGTTGAAAAGTAGGTTTCTATAGGGTACAATAGAAATAAATTATATTACTACTGAAGTAACTATTTTACCCAGGAGGCTAACACAAATCTAGCACACAATAGAAAATTACAAATTTCTATGGTGAGAACATATAAGATGCACTCTCTTAGTAACTTTTAAGTATATAATACAGTATGGTAGCAGTTATCATGCTGTATATTAGATCCCCACACTTATTCACTCATCTTGTGACTAGAATTTTGTACTTTTTAAGCAACATCTCCCCATTTCCTCATGTTCTAGTACCTGGTGATTTTTAATTTGTATATGGATTCTGTGATTGAGACAGAAACATAAATGTGTCCATCAACTATCATCTATATGTTTGATATATTATTATAAATGTTACATTATCATTTGCTATCAGTACAATATAAAAGCTAAATTGTAAGGAAATTGATCATCAATTAACACAATACAGTACTATCATAAACAATATTTTTCTTCCTTTTTCCAATATAGATAAATCAGAAAATGAATAAGTAGATATAGTGATTTCATATGTCAACAAGAAATTTAAATCAGTTCTATACATACACTTGAATGTTTTAGAAATATCATAACAGTGATGTGGATGATGACAATGGTGATAAAAACAAAGCTAAGTTTGTGGCCCTGGCAATGGAAATTTTACATTGTCGTTTACATGGTCTGAGAAAAGTTACCTGAGATGATAGCATAGGGTTAGGTTTCCTCAGACATAAAATGAATATATATAACTAAAGTGCATTTTCATAATGAAGACAAATGGTGTTATAATTTTACAGTATAACAAGAATCAGGCTGCTCCAAACATTCTGAAAGAATTATATCTCATCTGGTTGAAATCTAATCTATCTCTTCCTGCTTCCCCTCCCCCATACTTATCTACCCTTCTTTCTCTCATCTTTGTGTTCTTCCATGCTTTTTTAAACCAGATGCATAACCATGAAATTACAAAAATTAAAATTTGAAAGAAGATTGTTTCTCTAGAGAAAATAAGAGGATTGTTTTAATTTAAAAGCAAAGTTTAATTCTTATGATTGCTGAGACTGGGGAGTGAAGTGGCTCAGGTCAAAGTAATAATTGATCTGAAATCTCATGCACTTCTCTGTTCCCTCTTGAAATGTACTCCTAGGAAGTCCAGTTAAAAATGTAAACTAAGGGGTAAACTTTCCCATGACATGAACATATAACTCTGCTGAACGATTTACCTAACAAGACTCCTGGACAGATATACTGGGAAAGTGGGCAGAGGAAGATCCTGGGCATGCTATGAGAACATCACACTCACGTGTAACATCCTAAACAGAGTGAGAGTTTTGTGTTGTGGAGAGAAACTTCCATTATCTGGGGATGAAAGGGACAGGCAGCTCTGATTCCTATACTACTTAACAAAATATCAAACAGTAGTGAGCTAGAACAGTTATAATGAGTTCCTGGTTAAAAATCTATGTAACTACTCCCAAAGCTTGGATAAAGCAAAATAGTAGTTTTCCTTGCTTCTGCTTTTTGAGAAGAAATTTACTTATAGGTGAAACCACACACGTATATCCATGCACAAATGAACTGCTAAAATTCTTGAAAACAATTAGAACCTAAGCTAACTCCAATATCTATCAAAGCAGAATGCCGCAAAAAATATGCATAACAAATAAATGATAAGAATATCTTTTTCTTCCATTTGTTTGTGTCTTCCTTAATTTCTTTATTGTTGTGTACTTTTCTGAGTACAGGTCTTTTACATCCTTGGTTAGGTTTATTCCTTAAAGTACCTTATTTTTCTTGTTGCTATATCAAATGGGATTTTTTTTTCTGATTTCTGTTTCTGATATTTCATTGTTGAGGTACAACAATGCCTTTGATTTCTGAATATTGACTTTATATCCTGCTGTTTTGCCAAATTCATTTATTACATCGAATAGTTTTTGGTGGAGTCTATAGAATCTTCTATGTACACTATCATGTCATCTGCAAACAATGACAGTTTACTTCCTCCTTTCCAATTTGGATGCCTTTTACTTCTTTTTCTTGTCTGATGCTGTGGCTAGGACTTTTAATACTATGTAGAATCGAGGTAGTGAAAGTGTTCATGAATTGGAAGCATTAACATAATCAAAATGTCCATACTACCCAAAGCAATTTATAGATTCAATGCAATCCCTATTAAAGTAATAATGGCATATTTCATATATAGAACAGACACTTCAAAAATTTATATGGAACCATAAATGACCCCAAGTAGCTGCAGCAATTTTGAGGAAGAATAACTAAGTTGGAGGGATCACAATACCTGATGTCAAACTGTATTATAAGGCCACTGTAATCAAAACAGCCTGGTACTGGCATAAGAATAGAAACATAGAACAATGAAACAGAATAGAAAGCCCAGAAATAAATCCAAGTCTCTATGGTCAATTGATTTTTGACAAAGGGAGTAGGAATGTAAAATGGAATACAAATAGCCATTTTCCAAAGTAAAGAACATGTATAAAGGACACATGGACAAAACCAAATGGGGTAGGTTTGAGGGTGGGAGGTGGGGATGGGTGGGGCAGGTGGGGGTGGTTGGTGGAAAATGGAGACAACTGCACTTGAACGACAATAAAAAAATAAGAAAGACAAATATCATGTGATTTCACTTTTATGTGGAATCTAAAGAACAAAATAAACTAACAGACAATACAGAAACAGATTTATAGACACAGACAACAGACTTGACAGCTGTCAGGGGGGATGGGGTAGGAAGGCTGAGTGAAAAAAATGAAGGAATTTAAGAAAACCCCTCACAGACACAGGCAATATTATGGTGACTACCAGAGGGAAAGGGGCTGGGGGAAGGTAGAATAAGGTATACAGAAGATAGTAATGAAAGGAAACTTAACTAGGGGTGGTGAACACAATACAATATATACATGATATATTATAAAATTATACCCCTGAAAGGTATATAATTTTATTAACCAATGTCACCTCTGTAAATTCAACAAAAACGAGAGAGCACCACACAAATGAGTGTCATGATTAATGTTAATGCATCACAGGTAATGATCATTTTCTATATGAACCATGTAACTGATCATGAAGTCTTCAGGAGAGGAGATGGATCACTTCCAAAATGACCAATCAGGTTGGAGCCATAGATTTCTACCTAAATTTTAGAGAGTAGAGGAAAATCAGCCAATCAACAGTGGAGGATGAGAGTACAGAACTTTTGGTCCACGATGACCACATATGCAAGGGTTGTCATCATATGACCACAAAGTAATGATACAACATGCCAGCCAGGAGAAAAGAATTCTGTTGCTCCAAAAAAAGTATAAAACATTTGAGGAGAACAAGCATTGCAAGGAATGGTATTTTCACCAGTTAACATGATACAAAAGAATCTAGGAACAAACACTTGTGAGTCTGACTTCTATGAATGAGAAATTTCTGAGAAATAAAAACAGATGGAAGTTTTAAGGTAAGAATCAACCAATGAGAGCATGATGATAGTCAAACTACCTGTTATACTCAACAT